ATCACGCAAGCGACGCTGATACAGACGAGCCTGTCTCTGCTCAGGAGTCTCACGGATACGACGTTCTCTTTCCCTCTCTCTTCGACAACGAAGGGCATCTTCTCTGGACAGATCCATCAATGATTGCGAGAGTACGAAGCTACACACACGCGTATACGCACGACATTATGACAGGCAGCAGCATGTGAATCTTTTCGGATAAAAAGAAGCGCGTAACAACGTACGGTCTAGATTGGCGAGCGGGAGCGAGCCTAGTCGTACGTACGTTTCGATAGGATTTTTCATATACGTCGTGTAAGTGCGCATGCGCGGTTTCTTACGCGCTTCTTTTTATCCGAAATCATTTTGAAATTTTTACACATTTCACCAGTTCACACGCCTCGCCTATCGATCTATATATATAGCCAGCCAGAGAATTCTCCTCCATTTGACAGCATGAGATGCAACCTTCGGTGACTGACCGAGGCTGTATATACCTCTTCCCAATCGTCATGGTTCGAAGGTACAACTTTAAGTGGGCATAGCATATGTGGCCCTTGCAGTGAGGTACAATAGAGTGGGAGTAGGAATGAGTGCTAAAGGAACTAGCTACACAGGGTGAGGGATTACAACACTCTAATTTGTACTCTAGTCTACTAAAGGGATGAATAGTGGTGAAGGGCTGCGTCACTGCTGTTCCTACATAGTACTCTCCCACGCAGTCCTTCACAAACACTAACGCGCGTGCGCGCACACGCGCGTACGGATGAACGGTACTTGCAGAGCCTGCTTGACCCAAAAGCTCGTAGACCCCTGAAAGACTTGCCAAAACCGGTAGGAAGACTCACAAAAAACGTCATTTGTGCGCTGTAGAGGATTGAGTGACTGCAAACCAACAACTTCAACAGCCTTGTCGATCGCTTGCTCTAGCTCCATTATTATAAAAGGTGACGTTCCATTACATGCAACACCATGACAGACTCGCAGAGCTATCCGGACCCTGTTCGGTTACCAACACCTTTTCCAGCCTTGGCCCGCGTATCTAGCTACATCTATCTCTTCCTGCAAATTTGTTTTTCGTCCAAAGCATTCCTCGACGCAACAACTATAATGATACTGACTTTCTTAAACACCGTCCATACTATTCTAGACAGCAAATCACAAGCTTACCTCGATTTTAGGAAAGCATTTGACAGTGTGCCTCACAATGAACTTCTCATAAAACTCTGGTCTCTAACAGGAAACCTGTGGAACTGGTTCCGGTCCTACCTGTCTGGTAGATCCCAATGTGCTCTACTAAATCAATGCACATCTGACTTACTTCCTGTTATCTCAGCTGTTCTGCAAAGGTCCGCTCCTGTTCCTGGTATTCGTCAATGACCTTCCTCTGTCCGTCAGGAATTCCCACATATCCCTTTACGCAGATGATACCTAATGTCTCAGGAATGTCTCCTCTCAGTCTGACTCCCACTCTTTGCAAGATGACCCTTCTAATCTCTTTTCCTGGAGCCTTCAGTGGAATTTACACTTCAACGAAAACAAATGGGTTTTACTCCGTCTTTGTTCTAAACACCCCCTTGTCCTCCATGACTACACAATCAATAGCTCACCAATTCAAGTCCTTGATTGCTATCGTGATCTAGGAATCCTAATATCTAGTGACCTCAAATGGGGCAATCACATGACAATTATCACTGCTCAGGCCCTTAGGCCTAATTCGGAGGTCCTTCTCCAATGGCCTCAGTATCTCGGCTAAGAAAAGATCGTATTCATCTCTCATGCGTTGTCAATTTACCTATGCTTCTCAAATTTGGAAACCTCGCCTCATCAAAGAGATTGTTGCCCTGGAAAGAGTACAACGACGTGCATCCAAGTTTATCCTCAATGACCTTCAGTCAACCTACAAGCACCGCTTATTATCTTCCCTCTAATGATGGAATTAGAGCTGCATGACATTCTCTTTTTCCATCGCTCTCTCAAGGAGCCTGACACATCACAAGCTTTTCAAATTCAATCCTACATAAACGATTCCAAAGGTAATACTCGCTCCACTACTCATCTTAAGCTAAAACACTTTTCTTCTAAAAACAACTGCTGCTGCCCACTCTACTTTAACAGACTTCCTCGGCTCTGGAACTCTCTCCCTCCGATAAACTTGGAACTCTCTCTTCAATTTATCAATTACCATTCTTTTGGAATCACTTCTAAACTAACTTTCAGAGTATAAATCAATGCACTTTTCACTTGCTTTGCCTATGTGCTAAGTGTACCAGTACATCAATAACAACATGTTTCTCTCCTGCTACTACATCTTATAGGACACCCGCACTCCTAAACTGGTGTTCCTTCAGTACACTTCCTTTTAACAGAGCACTTGCACCTGAGTTTGCTACTTCTGTCACTGAAATGGTTACACAGCAACCTTTTACCCTAGCTCTTGATGGTAGCAATGATCAAGAAGAACAAAAGCTTGTCCCATTAGCTAACTGTAAGGGTGTTGGCATGGTTAAATCACAATTTCTCGACATGACCCTTTGTAGTGCCAGCACTGCTGCAGCATATTTTGAAAAGGTAGAGGAGGTTTTTTCTATACCTTGGTGTAACTGTGTTGGATTTTCTGTCGATAGTGCATCCGTTAATGTGGGGGCGCCACAACTCTATCAAAACTAGATTAGAAGCTAAGAACCCAGCACTTTACACTCTGGGTTGTCCCTGTCACTTTCTCCACAATGCTGCACATAAAGCGGCAAATGAATATGAATCAGCTTGTGGGTTCGATATAGAAGAAATGGCTGTCATGTATTTTATTATGTTGATCGTTCTACAAAGAGGAAAGGAGAGCTTAGAGAATATTCCCAGTTTTGTGACGTAGAGTACCGCAAAATGTTGAAGTATGTTTCAACTCGCTGGTTGAGTCTACAAAGCTCTGTGGAACGCATACTGAAACAGTACTCAGCACTGTGTTCTTACTTTCTCTCACGGGCTGAAAATAAATCTGATCACCATCTACCCCGTCTGCAGATGCTTTTCAGTGATCCAATGACAGAGGCATATCGCTTATTTTACCAATCTGTCATGCCTGTTTTCACCAAAACCAACCTCCTTTTACAAGAGAGATAGTCCATGCCATGGAGAGAGTCGTAAGGACACTCCTTGGACGTTATGTGACAGTCACTGCCATGGACAGAGCAAACACTGTGGTAGAGGTTGACTTTGTTAGCAAACCAAATCAGCTCATTGACACAGAGCTAATGATTGGTTTTACTACAAGCAACTTTCTGGATCGAGCTCAGGATGATGTAGAACCATTAAAATTAAAAAGGTTTTACACTGGTGTCCGTGCATTTTATGTCAAATGTCTAACTTAATCATTGACAAATTCCCATGGAATGATCCTCTCCTTCAGCATGTTCAATTTCTTGATTTTGAGAAGAGGAAAACATGTTCTTTCGAATCTATTCAGTACTTCCTCACACGATTCTCTGAACTACTGCCATCTGAACATATTGACGAAGTCTATGATGAATTTCGCCTATATCAGAGCTTACCTGCAATCCCAGAAGAACTATAGACACATCACAAATCTATGAGGAGGATTACATTAGGGCGGATATTCTTTGGCATGAGCTGCAAAAAGTGGAGGATGTGAATGGGAAAGAGAAGTTTGGGCTGATGGCTAAGGTAGCCAAGCTGGTGTTGATTCTACCTCACAGCAATGCTGATGAAGAGCGAGTATTTAGCATAGTGTGAAAGAACAAAACAGCTGGATATTCTTTGGCATGAGCTGCAAAAAGTGGAGGATGTGAATGGGAAAGAGAAGTTTGGGCTGATGGCTAAGGTAGCCAAGCTGGTGTTGATTCTACCTCACAGCAATGCTGATGAAGAGCGAGTATTTAGCATAGTGTGAAAGAACAAAACAGCATGTCGTGCCAATCTTTCTCTTGCAACTACGCTACCCAGCATTCTTCAATGCAAATTAAACGCTCTCAGTCACATGAAGTGTTACGAATACAATCCAACCTACCAAGTTTTGCGAAATGCGAAGCAAGCAACGTGGCAATACAATAGAGAACATGCAAACTCATCATAACTACAATGTCTACACGTTCTTTCACTCAATGTTCAATGTTTACGTAATGTCCACCCAACCCCACCCCCCTTCCCCCACATATAAAGTTAAACGTGACTAGTGACCAGCATTTGCAACTCCAATCCTTGGCATCTATTACACTACCCGGTCACTATGGTCTTTGAAAGTGTGGAGACACTCTCTGTTACTGCCATCCCATATCTTCACTGTCTTATCACTGGATCTGGAGAATTTCGACAATGACATCAATACATCACTGATTACAGGATCCCCCCTCGTTACCCAGTGACAAATTGTTGGTTGTCGGAGCAATACGCTAAGGACAGGACCCAGGAACTGTTGCCAGAGAGAGTGCCAGCTTATTGGCTGGGGAGAGAGAGAGAGAGGGAGAGGGAGGGGAGAGAGGAAGGGAGAATAATATAGTAAAACTGGAAGGGCTATATAAGACCGATCTCAAGTTTCACATATTCATCCAATGTGTTCTCATTGGGGCAGAATTTCGACTGCATGCAACTAGCAAAGTGTAGATTATTACATCAAATCAGTCAGCATCTCGTTCTTTCTCTGTGTACTGTATCATTAGATAGCAGTCAATGCTAGACATACGGACCTCCACATTTGTATGTGCCCAGCACATGTCATTATGTCGTAGTACAGAACTTATATTCATGAACTGAAAGGGAATACACATTTTAACAATAAAGGAAACTCCGAAAAAGACACAATAGAATAAAATAAAGACACAGCCTGAGGTCTGAATCGTTTACTTTTTAGTACATCTCTGAACCTCAAAGAGGACAACTCCCCAAAATTAAATGTACTGGTCAGGTTACTGGAGGCCGCTATCTTGGATGGAAAATCTAAAAAGCAGTGCTAGCATTATACACCAGTCCGCAATGAACACACAACCCCAAGCAGAAAGCCTTAGCTCCACTTACCCAAACGAGCCAGTGAAGTACAAAACTGCATATACAGTGTTTATTGCAAGCAGCTGACACACCCTCGAAACCCACATTAACAAACCAGTGCACATGCGTACAAACGTTCGCACCGCACATCTTGCAATGTATGGACGAGAATACAGATAAGAGGTGCCACTGAGAAATACCTTCCAATAGTGGGAAATATGATGTGAAAATGCTACAATGGACACATGACGGTGACCTACAATTACTTCTACTGTGAAGTGCTGAACAAATAGTGAAACATGCTAAAAATCAGTCTTCATCATCATCACTGTCTTCCAACTCATACGACATGAAGTAATACTGAGACCCCACGAGGGACACTGTGGGGTCTGAGGGGGGCACTATTTGGAACCCCATCAGGTGGAAGCTGTGGAGGATCTGTCGCCGCAGCTCGGCTGAGACACACTGCTCAAAGAAGACATAGACCGTCCTGCAGCGGAGCTCCTCCTCTGCATGCTCCAGCAGGGAGACAAAACTGAAATAGGGAGGGAGGATGTGAAATACACACAGTGATAATATATGTACAAATGATCCACCATTTTGGAATGCTCAGTGGGAAGTACACTTCTGGCAATGCAGAGAAAGTTAGAACCTGTGAATCAATTTTTACGCATATTGTGCAAAGGGTAGCTATGGCCACGCGATATGTGCAGGGCAGGTTGATAGACTACGTATATAGATTGTCAGGCAACACAAACACAACATGACTACACTGTGTATAAATCAGCAAGAACCCTATCTATTCTACAGTAGTATGCCAGACAGAAGTGGCTCTTAAAGTGTATACATTGCTCACACTCATAACATCTCCGAACTACGTAACGGCAAAAGTATCACGTACCACTCCTTGCTGATGGAGGCCATGTCCCCGAACTTGAGGAAGACAAAGAGGGCAGAGAGTGAGGGCAGATGGAGGGCAGTGAGCGAGACAGTCTGGCCTGCGTGTAGCAGAGAGTGGGAGAAGACAGAGTGAGAGGGAGGAGGAGAGGCCGCCTCCTGCTCTGGAACCAGTGCCTGCTGTGGTGGGAGGGAGATGGGGAGAGAGGAAGGAAGAGAGACGGAAGATGGGAACGATAAAAGAAAGGAAGGGAGGGAGGAAAATTCACTGATAGTAAAGCTCTCACAAGTTACTGTATTTCACAAGTTTGGAAATTCTGTGTGTACTGCATACTACATGTACATGGACCATGCAACAAGCTTGCAGACTAGTAGCGAAATATTAAGATTATCATCATAGTAAACTACTGCAAAGGCAATAGCGGAAATTGCGACAGAGAACTAAATTGAGAAGGAAGGGGAGTGGCAGTGTTGCGAAATGAAGTCCCCCAACTCTGAAAGGCAACACCAAAGAAGAGAGGATGCCACAATAATTGCCCGATAATGCGTGTGTAACCTGAGAGGCATGCCAGCTAAGCTTGTTTGTCTTCTAGCCCTGAACACCGGCCATGGCCCAGGCTAGTCACTGCACCACCACGGCCCTGGCTAGTCACTACACCACCTACTAGTTCCACTCTATTAACTTTTAGTCACTCCCTGTTCCCCCGAAAATGTTTCAACGTTCTTTGACATTCGCATATAAATCAAAGGACGTCAACTACATACTGTACGTAACTAAAGGGGAGTGCTACAGTAACAATTCATCTATACACCTAGGACAACACTGGGTATGACTTAACAAACCCGGGACAATCTGCTCTCTAGGTAGAGCATTCACCCACTGAGCTACAAGCACAAATCAGTGCAGGGCTCAACGTCTACTAAACAATACAAGGAAAACGCAAATCCCAAATGACACAGAAACCCAATACATGCTTCCAGACCGCATATGGTTTTCTAGACAGTACACCCAAAGAATTACTTACCACCACTGCGCTGTAGGCTATATTGTCATCATCGTCTCCTCCGTCTTCCCCGCCCTCCAGGGAAGAGGAGGTGTCACCGGCACTGCTAGGAGCACTGCACCATTGCGGGACCACGGCTGAGAGAGGGAGGGAGGGAGGGAGAGAGGGAGGGAGGGAGGGAAGGAGGGAGGGAGAGAGGGTGGGTGAGAGGAAGAGGGAGAAGGATAAGAGGAGAGAGGAAGTGGTGAAAGTTGGAGAAAGGGAGGGATGAAAGGAGGGGGGGAGTAGGGAATGAAGGTGAGAGGGGAAATTAGTTCACTCAAGGTGTTAATTAACTGGTAAATGCTGTAAAACAGACTGGATACCAGCTGCTAGAGCCTGCTTAGGTCAAGCTCTGAAAATCGTTTTAGCATACCACACAGATTTCAGAACAGTTTTACACAACATGTAAAGCCATAAATGTTGCTTACTCGGAACAGTTATCTGCGTCCTGGCCGTGAGCCCCGGACCCGAGGACGGGTCCTTTCGAGTCTCTCGTTTTTCCTCCTTCGGACGGATTTTGGCGGTTGTAGAGCTGCGTGCAGCAGCCGAGCGGTCGACGCTCACGGTCGACCAAGTTTTTAGAGAAGGAACGTAAATTGGATATGAACAAGGCGTTGGGGTCGCGCGTACGCGGTTTCGACCGAGTCTTTAGTAACTCCAGCTCTGCCCAGCGTGTTGTGGCTCTCTGCTGCTGAATGTCCGTAGACGAGGCGTCCCCTCTTTACACTGGAAAAGTCGTTCTTGAGCGTTTACTGGTGCCTTCGATCTTCTTGTAGCTGACGCAACTCAGAAAAAGAACTGACGACAACCGGACTTTGTTGTTAAGTATCACGTGAAGTCACGTGTTACCCTTTCATTACCACGTGAGAGCTCGTGATCATTGAGCCCCGCCCATTTTCTTCTCCGCTGCGCTTGTGCCGAGCCAGGGATCATCATGGTAAAGGCAACCTTCAGTCTACTTTACTAAGAGGCAGGACAGGCTGATTTTCCATCCACGGTTTTTGCTTTCTTCCCCTTGCTTCTTCCCCTTGCTATCTAGAGGTTTCGTTTCTGTGGGGACCTGGACTGTCCCGACTGGCTCCTGGCAGAGATCAGCATTCTCTCCAAGTTGGTGAGTTCTCTCTATCTCTTCTCACGGGTGTATACATATCTGCTACCGTGAGGAACTGTTGATGAGGCGTGTTTATCCCGCTGCAGACCTCAGTGAAGATGAAGCTGCTGTGTGCACAAGTGATCAAGGACATTCTGGGAGACTCTATTGACGTAAGACCCCTCTCACTGTCACTACTTCACACCTCTTTACGTCTCCTCCCTCTCAACCTTATCATTTCTCTTCCCCTCCCTCACCTCAATTTATTATACTTTTTCTTCTTTCATCTTCTCTCGTACATTTTCCCCTCTGCCACCCTCTCTCTCATCCCCTCTTACGTATGGCTTACACACCCTTTCCCCATCCTCTCTCCTACTCCCTACTATAATATTCTCCCAGCTCCTTTACTCTATACTCTCTACCACTGTCCAGATATTCAAACAGAAAATGAAAAAAATCTTCAGCAGCGGCACCAGTCTCTTGCTGTTCTCTGGCTACGCGTATGCCAAGCCTGATACGCATGCACGTGCCACTAGTTGCACCCCTCCCCCTTCATCCACAATTCGCCTGTTTTGTTAACTGACCCCTCACCACGCATGCGCGCAGGCGAGGGTTAATAACTCTCCCAGCTCCCTTTACTCTATGCTCTCTACCATTCTCCAGTATGGCAAGGTGGGTAAACTGACGGCAGATGCCAAGTATGAGGACTCTGACATCAAGGCAGCCATTGCAGCTCTCTCCTTCATCTTCACCAGTGCTGCCAAACACAGCGTCGCTGGAGATACTCTGGATAATGAACTGCAGCAACTCGGACTGCCTAAAGGTGTGTGTTACAGTGGAGTCCACACACCATGGGGATGGAAGATGTAGCCTTGTTACTACAAGATGTATAGGGTCCAAAATACTGAGGTATCCCTTATAATTATCATTGCTTGGAAGGTACATATAGCTGTTCTTGGGGGAAGAAAAGGTGTGCTCATCTACGGGGTGTCCCTGTTTTATTGATAACCAACATACACTCTCTCTCTCCCTTGCAGAGAATGCGGGGTCTGTGTGTAAAGTGTATGGTGACAATATCCAGAAACTGACAGCAGCTCTCAACGACAGGAGCCTCAGAGGTATACACATAATGTGAAACTAACTACTTTGAGAGCTTGAGAGTTGCCCACAATGTCATTATTTGGAGAAACCTTGGTCGAAATTTCTCTTGTAACATAAGTGTTGTGTGTGTAATTAAACTCTACAGAGTGTGTCTGTGTACATGTATTCGCTACAAAGTATAATAGTCCTCCTTTTCTCTTCTTTCTTCTGCAAGCCTGAGCTGTTTAACTTTTTGGGTTTACGTTTGTAATGTCACACACACCCATCCCTCCCTCAGTGTCAACCCTGGACAGTGTTCAGTGGAGGGTAGACTACGTTCTCAGTTCCAGCGCCGTCAAGGTAATATATTGCACATTCTGGCATTGCAATGCATTGTAGTGTAGGCGACGGGTGTGCACTGCTATTGCCTATGCCTTGTGTGTGAAGTAGACTGGCCCCTGCTTGCTGCGCTGCCGCGCTGGTATATATAGGTCAGTGGTAGAGCACTGTTATTGCCTATGCCTTGTGTGTGAAGTAGACTGGCCCCTGCTTGCTGCGCTGCCGCGCTGGTATGTAGGTCAGTGGTAGAGCATTACACTTACAGTTAAGATTGTATAGGGTTCATTGACAAGTTTAAGGGCAGCTTTTTCAAGTATTTCTGGGGTGTAGTGACTTTATATTGACACTCCACAATATGCTGATCCCTATGAAATGTTACAACTTGGCTGTCTCCTACGTATAATAGGATATTGGAGAGCCAAGTGTGGCACTCCAGCTCCTGAGAAAGAATCCAGTCACCAAGGAAACGACCCCTGTGACCTTTACACTCTCCCAGGAGAAATTCAGACTCCTCCTCAGAGGTACATGCAACTAATATACCTGGAGCTAATCTCCAGTCAAGGTCCTCAGCATTATCATGAACATTTATTACCGTTTGGGTACTGGATCGAACAGAGATTGAGGCAAGATTGGCTCCAACTGTACTTTATACGTCATGCTAAGTGAGAGTACTGTGTCGTAGCAGTCATTTGAGGTTGCCTTTTGTTGTGAATTGTACATTTGAACCCCTACCAGTTGAGTTGCACTGGTAGCTCAGCCGGTAGACTGGAGTGTAATGGTTCGAATCCTATATATACCCAGGGAAGCTATTTTTTCCTCGAAAGTTCCTAAGTACAGTTGTGGGTGCAGTTTATATCTTGCTTTGCTTTGCTTTGCCCGCCCCACTTTTCCACTCAGGGTCTGGGTAAATACCGACACAGCAATACCCTGGGTGGTTAGTAATACAACCGCAGGTGGTATTTGTCCTTGTACATGTATGTACATGGAACTATTAACCCTGCATTATTCCCAGGGTTCTCTACAGTACATGAAATATTGCTGCCTTAGAATGTGCATAATTATACTAATACTGTTCACACTCTAGCATTACCCCACAATAATATAACCCTCGTATTGTACACGCATACAACTTTTCTCTCACTGCAGATCTAAAGCAGGCTCACTCCACAATGCAATCACTTGCAAACTAGAGACATAGTTTTAGTATGTATATAAGTGTATATTTGATAAATCGCATTGTGTGCTATTATACTTTTCGTGTGTTTAAAATTTGGTTTGAAAAATAGCTGATTTTTTAGTGACTAGTCTTTACAAGTTGAGTAGGGATCTAGAGCGACAGTGGCATGTGGTGATGGGATGGCACATCTGGTGTATACTCTATTCTCGATGGAGTAGCACAAACACTGCCAGACCTCCCAGCAGTACATACTGTGGATAATGCATACAGCAGGTTAATACAAACTAGACTAGTAATCGTTTGGCATGGGCAGAAAGGGGGTTAACTCTTGACATGTGCATGTGTAGTGGTGCAGTTACGTAATATACCCATATATAGTCAAAGTAACGCTGACCTTGAGCATGGGATAGTCATTCATCAGTATAGTCACCATCCCAACAAATGGGAGATAACTGCATATTATAACAGAGAGAGCGCCTAAGATAATGCATATACAAAAAAGGTCCATTCATAATAATGAAAAGCACTAAAGTGCAAACCCTCGGTGAACTGCGCATGTGCGGTACCGCCAATTGATAGGCTGAGCTATTAGTGTACTCGTGGTCTCCCCTTAGCGTAGCTCGCGGAGAGTCTGACACGGGCTAGCCACAGTAGTAGATAGCATGCGGGAGTCGATACATGCCCTTCGTTGTGACTTCTTGTGCCTCAAGGTACACAGAGCAAGCGGACCCGGTCGAGGTAACCCCGTGCTAATTTGCATATTGGCTTGTTCACTTGGTTTTCACGCCATAACTTCTGAACATGGTACTTTTACAAAAATCGCCATTAAAATGAAGCCAGTGTAGCGCTGAACCAGTTGGTGTCTCTATTTCCTGTTTGTCACGCAGGGTGGCATAAAACGTGGACGGACGGACAGACAGGCAGACAGACAGACGGACAGACCAAGTACTGTAACCCTCGCTGCGCATGAGCGCCGAGGGTTAATTATTGTAGGGCTTTGTTCCTTTTGCATGCAAAGGAATTTATGCTTGAAACCACAGGACTATCTTTACTCTTGCTAGAGATTGGTCAAAAAAGGAGAAGTTGAGTTATTCATACATAGTACTGTATTGGTTTGCATAATGACAAAAGTGGGGGGAACTGATTGTAGATGAGAGAGAATGGAAGAGGGTGCAAAATACGATCTTACCCTCTGGCACGTCCGATGATTTCACTCTTTGTCACCCAATTCTGATGGGGGGCATAAATCATGCCGGCCCTGTCGTCACCAGCATTATTGTCTCCCTTTGTCAGAATCTTCACTTCTCCATCAGCACTACAATGACAGAAGGAAGAAGAAGGCTACAGGTGATATCGGTGCTGCCAACATTTTATGCAATGGCTTGGATCAGGATGTGTCAAGTTTTGTGTGTGTCATTTCCTGTGCAACATTGTACATATACTTCCTGTAGACTACAAAATGTTAGTGGCCACACCAGTTTCCTTGGTGGCTCACAACAGCAATGGTTGATACAGTAAAAACCTTTGAGTAGTGACCACTCAATATGACGACCACTCTTATAAAGACCACTTGTAATACAATGCGTGGGCGCATCAAAGGCATCACTCATGTTATAAACTTCATATTGCGAACGACTTTGCTATATTATCCCAATAATGCTTGTACCATTGATTCTGACCTTATGGTGTCACTATACTGGAAGAACATAGTAATTTCCCCATTTTGTTGGATATACATCCCTCGAAACTCTCTATCCCTCAATGCTGTGCTCAATAGGCTAAACCCCAGTGCTGATTATGCATAGTGCCCTATTCCTTTTCGCCTGTTCTCACGCCACACAGTGTGTGCAGCAACTCTAGCCGCGATGCTTTTTTGTGATGATTTCAGGGTCCTAGAAATTCAGTGAGTGAGTGTCTGGCTATATATTCAAGGTCCAATATATACACTTCTCTGATTCTGAGAGCACTGTGTTATCAGGCGGTGAATTCCAAGATTTAGATTAGCTTCACACAGGAGAATTTAGGATTAAACAGGAACTGGAAGTCAGTGTGTCCAGCAAACATGGTGTTTGCTTTGAGAACATTCTTCTCAGGCTATGACACCACATCGCAGTGTAGTCATGCACAGCCGCTCCACCCACAAGGAAAGGGAGTGTCTATTAATGCATTCCTCGGTCGTAACGTCTAATTATAGGTATGTAACTTCCACAGTCAGTCAGCACAGAAGAGTGCAGCGAATGCCGTAGAATGGACGAGAGTTCTGTCGCTGGCTAGATCACAATCTCTATAGCTAGGCAGCATGTAAATAATTTCAGGTAAAAGGAGCGCATAATCAGAAAGCATGTGCAGTTGGACGACATACAGTCCTAGAAATAATCGCACCGTTCATACAACTGGATTAGCTTGCTCCCGCTAGCCAATGGGTGTTCATTGGTCACAATTACATTAGTACATCACTTTACACCGCCAGTGGAGGATTAATAACCCTTTGGGCGCCATTTTATATATATATGCACAGAGCCTCCATAAGTGCATAAGAATTTATATATGGCTATAATACTAGGCGCTAATATGTTATACATCAATTTCTGCTTATTTAAGGAGACACCTATGGCGCCCAAAGGGTTAAGAAATGTTTCGCAATAGTTAACCAGAGTTCCCTTCCCCTTGTGGGTGGGGTTGGTAGACACAATACTCAATATAGGGTCCCTCACATGCACTGGACACAGAGTAGTCAGACAACCAAGGGTAAGCATACAGGGTCCTTGTGCACCATGTCCTATGTACTGAACACATATGCATATTCATTCCTACAACAAAAGTAAAAGTTCATTCAATTAGTCATGCTCTACAGATATACAGTATTACCAGTACACTAGAACCTACATACAGCCGAGTCCTATGATAAAACTAAAAGTCAATTCCAATGGTCCGCAGGAAATGTTATGTCCATTCCAATGGTCTACTGAGACATTAGACGTCACTCAACTTTGTCCATGGGGACAGAAACACGATACTGAACCTCCTATTGTTAGGTGGTTAATGCCACGCAGATGCTAACACACCACGGGATACTAGAGGATAGCGTGTCTGACGTATTGACGCATGCTCTAGAACCTTCACCTTTACAACATCACGTCGTAGAGTGACGTGGTGTATTACTCGTGTGAGCTGTCCTGCCCACTCAACTGTACCATTACCAGACACACAGACACGTCCCCGGATCCCTTATGACTAATTAGTTTAGCTACAGAAGTTGAAGGTGAACATGAAATTGACAGTATGGCATTCTTGACATTCTTGGCATTCTTGACATTCTTCCACTAACTGAACCACAGCATCCACATGGATTCCATATCAGTCTAATCGGTTACAAGAACAAGAAGTTCCTGCACATGACATATGTAACACATGTCGGATGTGACACAGCGAATGTTGAATGTGACAACAAAGTGAGGTAGAAAGGCAAAGGCAGAGCAAACAAGTCAACCAAACCCAGGACAGCTCTTATTTTCCATATAAAGTATACACAGCTTACATACATGTATGTACGTAACATAAAATGTGCGCATTTGTGTACATAGTATACAGGTTTACATAGGTATTGATTTCACTAATTCTTCTAAGTTAGTACCAATTAACTGCACACAGGTTAGCTGTGGAGACGCGGGAACGCGGTGATTTAGTGAGCAGAGGGCACTTGGGCTTGGGCTCGACATCCCGAGCTCAGTGAGCTCAATAAGACCTTGACCATAATACAAACAGCTTCCACGTGGGTAGGCCATATCCGTACGGCACTTTGCATGACCTTGTTACTAACAAGTTACATAAGAACCATCAATTTCCGAACAACCCCCGGTGCTATTGTAGGTTCTGAACTTCAGGTCACCCTTCATTTGCTGGGCAATGATGCGTTCATTATACCACTGCATGCTAATCAGATAGTCTTCGCACCAACAGAGAAACATGAAGTAATGGTTGGTGAATAGAGGTGTGGTTTATATGGTTTATACAGACTGTTCTACAGTATGTGCATGATATAATTATATCTACATACCTTTCATGGACTTTAATGACGCGATGCACGATGGGGATGTCCCTTTCCTTAACCTTGAAAACGAGTATCTCTCCGGCCTGGACTGGGTCCTCACGGTTGTTTGTCAGGAAAAGCAGGTCACCTCGATAGAATGCTGGCTCCATACTACCACTGCACGCACACACACACACACAAAGACAGGAGCTTTATATAAGGTGTACGCATGTGTCAACAACGTGGTTGCAAACCATCGGCAAAGCAAACAAAACAACCAAGTACACGCAGGACAACTTTTTTCCATTCATTGTGTACATACGTACGTACAGTATGCACATAGTGTGTTGCCCTGCAACAGTTCCTTCGCCAGTTGCAGCAACAGTTCCTTCACTAGGAATTGTTAGGGTAGCTAGCATGATTCTCATTCTGTTAGCCAACAGCAGTGGGTAGCATTATATCAGTAGTGCAGGACTCCATACTAGCTTTTGTCATCAAATGTAACCCATGGTTTGTATAATACACCCTCAGTCTTGCTCCTTTACAAATGTCTTTATCCCTCCCTACCCTCCTCCTCCCTACCCTCCTCCTCCCTACCCTCCTCCTCCCTACCCTCCCGCTCTGTTTTAATTTTTACCTACTGGGTACTTGATTACCCCGCATGCATGTATGTCGTCATTATCATCAACATGGAAATTGTAAACAAGAGCTATAGGCAGTTGTAATGGCGACCAAATTCAAACTCTATTGGTTGTGCTTGCAATTGATGAAACTGTTACATCCACCCAAGCTTGCATATATGTAGCTTGCCTCAAGCTTGAATTCTATGCGTATAATCAAGCTTGAACATGATTGTTTATTATTCCAAGGGTATATAGCACCCATACACTTACTCACTACTGTATGGGGTCTGGGTGTAGCTGTGACTAACATCTCACCTGAGCACGACGACAATTGGACTCTCGCTGCCCGTGACAACCATCAGCCCCTTCCAGATCATGAGGGCAGACGAGACAATCATCCCGAAATTGAGGGCCTGATAGAATTTCTGAGGAGAGAGAGAGATGGTGTATTGATGATACAGGTGGACATGAACACAGAATAAGGAATAAGGACAGCGTACTTACAAAACCAAGAAGCCACTACACCTGTAACCATGGCACAATCGAGGATTTGTCATTAGAAACATTGAGTGAAAGAACCAGATACTGGACTGGAGGGTCAGGACAGAATGCCTTGTATATATGCTTATTACAAAGTTTAGGCATCAGCCTCTTAAAGAGTGATTATGTGGAGGAAATGCTGAATGCTGCAAAAAGCATGGGGTGGTTGTAGAAAGAGGAAGTTTTGGAGACACTAGAATGGAGGTATACACATATGTAGCATGCATTGCCTCATAAAGACAGCTCACAGCAGGTATAACGTCACCACACTGAGTGGACTATGCCTACTGTGCATAATGCTTCACATTGCCAATGAGTGAAGTGTGATGTAAAACAGATGTTGACCTCAGATGACATCACCACACTTTGACAGCAGCAGTGCACATGTCAGGGGTCAGAATTACCTAGTCTCTCGAACCAGTTGGCTTCCCTTCATACCAACATTTTACACACGCTAGTACGCGACGAAGGGTCCGATTCACTAGCATTGGTAAAAGCTCATCCTTTTGTGAGAGGGGGCTGGTACCGAGACTACCGGCTATGTAGTCGTGGGAGGGGCTGGTATCGACATGAGGTTACTTCATACTCCTACAAGTAAAGATATGGCCTGTAGAACACTACCACTTCGAAGAAAATAACCACTTGCATATACCCCATTTGGGCAATATTCAATTCCGTAGGTTAGGGCCAGGGAGGTACCCACGTGCATCCATTCTAATTAGAGCACCACCACATTATTTGTGTAACGACGCACTTGACGTTTGTTCATCCTAGACACGTCTGAGAATATTCCCTCCAACATCTCTCTCGTCTCCTGCTCTATTCACACTGGCCGGCAAAATAGACAGCAAAATGAGGACTACAGGATGGCGAAAAGTTCCGCAGAATAACTTTGTGACGTCATTAATTAGTCCACGGAGGGCGGCGCGCGTGCGCTGGTATAAAGCGGGAAGCTGTTCCGCGTTCAAGAAACGAGAAGAGTAGAGAAAGAAAGTTACTACTACATTGGTAGAAGCAAAGGAAATTTTGTGATTTACAGGTGCTACTGAGGAAAGGCTGCAATGAACGGAGAACAAGTAAGTATGTGCAAGGACAGCATTGATCCTGCGAGTATACTAGACTCACGTACATAGCTAGCTAGCTAGGTAGCTAAGTGACTTGTAGTGTGGTCTCTGGCTTGGGTTTAGACATCGTCTTTCGCGGTAGCTTGTGTAATTGCGTAAAATAAGGGATCATGCATGTGTGTAGCTAGATGTCACGATATATATTAGCCCTAGCGCTATAATATCTATGATGTCACTGACCGGCGTTCAGGATCTGTCAGCCCATTTACTCTGATCTTGCTAATTGACCTACTAGCTGTTATACATAAAAGCGCGTGGTGGATGCGGGGGTTCAGGTGATGTTACTGTGAGGCACCTCAATCCACTGAACTCTATCGCAGACAAATTTTTTGCTGTGTAGAGACTCTGATTTCTCTATGTAATGTCTAATACATGTAGCTATGTATGTATATACCTATGGGAGAGATTGGGGGGGGGTACTATTAATTGTTTGTTGTGACCTATGGAGAATGATAGACACCTCACTAGGCTAAAAACCTCTTTCTAAACCAGATGTGTGGTTGTGTACAGGAGTTTGGGGGGTGTGTGTGTTGTACAGGAGACATGTTGTCATGGGAGGACACCCAATCCTTGTTGTGATGAGGTCAAGGTGTAACGAAGAAGGTTTGGACCAGGATAATGTGTTGAGGAGTAGCATGACATGCTGGAACATGACACGCAGTGGGAGCCAATGGCCAGACCCTCAATTATATCCTCGTTAACTTGTAAACAAACAACGGATGACATTCTCTCGTTCAAATAATTAGCAGCAACACCACACCTTCATGGTTATAAGCAATGCAGTTTTAGTGACTATGGCACCACTGGCTGATTTGGCTTATGCACATGCTGGCTTGTTGCACCTTGTGCATATGTCCATTTCAATCAGAGTGTTGGTAAACAAAACCCTTCAATGTAATCCTCTTAGCCAACTGCTCCGCACCTGACCATGTGTGTGTATTTATAGCCATGCAAGTATAATCTAGCCAGCTCATTAGCCGACCTTTGCTAACTCAATCACCTAATGTGTCAAAATCACATGCCCTAAGGAATATGTAGGTTAGGGGTTTCAAAGCGCCATATTTTGGTTATGACTCACTATCTCTAGCAGCTTTCTCTTGCAACTTTTACTGGCATATGTACTGAGGCTTTCCTTTGTTCTTCATTCCAGGAATATCATCCTTTGAGTGACTAGCATAAGTTGTAGAGTATTGTTCACGTATATTGTGGGGTAGATACAGTTGCTAGGGAACCATGACAAGGTGGGCCACATGCCAGTCTAGGTAAGGAGAGATGAGAGGAAGAGGAAATGGGCTTCTCTGTACTGTGGAATGCAACCCAGTTGGGTCAGGACGTACACTAATCTGTACCTCTGGACTCTCCCACCATCATTTCCCACCTCTCCTTTCTCTCCCCTCCTCTCTACTTCCCTCTGGCTCTTCCTTCATTACAAGCACTAGCCAACTCCAATTCCCATCTCCCTTCCTTCTCCCTCTTTATACTCTCTCCTACATAGTCTATCTTTCTTCCTACTTTTGTTCCCTCTCCCTCTCCATTTCTTCACTCTCCTTCTCCATTTCTTCCCTCTCCTTCTCCATTTCTTCCCTCTCCTTCTTCATTTCTTCCTCTCCCTCCTTTGCCTCTGTCTCCTCCTCTCTCCTTCCCCTGGGCCATTTGGTGGGGTCTTAAATTCCTCTGGGAAATATATACATAGTGGAAATAGGTTTTCATTTCCTGCAAGAGTTACAGTCCTAGACATGATGTCATTGGCTTTTATATCCTGGTGTTGATGTAATGTCGTAGGCAATGGTGGTAAGACTACTTTCAACTTCATATCCTGTTCAGAAAGCTCAGTTAATGTACTTTTGCCTCATCTAAAGTGATCCCATAGGTCTAGAAATGTACAAAATGCGCAGTTATGATGGGGACCAGCTTATACGACCAATTGTGATGAATACACTAGAACAGTCTTGTTGGTGTGTGAACCAACATTGTAGTGGGCCGTCTTTGTCTACATCCCAAGTAAGGTTGAGAGATAATGTGCTTGCGTCCTGTAGTTTTTGTCAAAGGTGTGGATGACGATATGTGTTCCTTTCTACATATGTAATAGTGGGCCGTCTTTGTCTACATCCCGAGTAAGGTGGAGAGAAACTTCCTTGTTTCCTGTTGTTTTTCTCAAAGATGGGTGTTCCGTGGATGATATGATGTGTTCCTTTCTTTCTATGGCAAGGAACCCAGGAAGAAGGCAATGAAAACGAATAAGTGTTATGGATAGTTGACACTGTTGCCATCATGCGATGGGTGTATTGGGGAATGCCAGGTTGAGTATGGTGGCTAACAGGTGCTGTGTGTCCCTACATTAACTCTCTATAGAGAGTGTTAACTCGCAATGTCCGGTATTGTTTGCCCTCTTTGAGCCCGGATTGTATACTTTCAAGACAACTGAGGGCTGTGTGTAGCTTGGAATGTGTGTGGTGCATGCATCCTTTGTACACCCTCTCCTTTGAGACTGCCAACTGTGGCTTATCACTCATGTGCACAGTACCCTTTCCTGCATTAAGATTTGTCCTCCCACTGTGTCCTCCCACTGTCTCCTTCTGTTTCCCACTCTCTCCCACCCCTCCTCCATCACCCCCCACCCTTATCTCACTGTGACTCCATATTTACTCTCACCTGCCCCCTTTCCCTCCCTCTCACCCTCCTCTCTCCCCCATCTCTCTCTCCCACCTCTCTCCTCCTCCCCCTATCCTCCCCCCACTCCTCACCTCTCTCCCTAGACCTCTTTATCAGAGAAACAGACTGGCTTTGTGTTCAAGCCATCGCTGCAGGACATCTCACTCAAGAGGTTAGTAAGTCCGCCATTAGTTTTGTATTGTAGTAGAGGTCCACCATAAACACAATTGCAAATGCACCTATGAAAGTGCTGTATTGTTGTGTGTGTACAACACCTGTGATAGCCAGTTGAACCTTCTGGATCCTAACCACCCTGGGCCTGGAGATGTCTCCATCATTATGGACAAATGGACAGGGTTCTCCCCCTTATTGATGCACTATTATGCTAACTAAACTTCTAGGGTTGCATGAATGCAATCAAGGTAGCAAATACACTAAAGTGGTATATATATAATGTAAGCCCAGCCTACCATCAAAACACAGTTGCAAATGCACCTATGAAAGAGCCAGTGGTGTCTAGGTTGCTAGGAGCTTTGTCTGGGCGTCTGTCAGTATCCTACTGTCTCTGGAGGAAATTAGCCGCACAGTGTAGCTCCCAACCTGTGAATGACATTAGTGTGTTCTTGAGCGTTGCACAGACCGCCTGTTGGGCACCTCAGTCTATCAGTCTAATTCAATCGACCTTCCTCCACCACCTACACCTTCCTTGGCCCAGACACTGTCTCCCTTGGTTTATGTGAGGTGGAATGTTCATAATTGGAATATCTGTGGCGTGATGAAGTTCTAAGTATTCCTTTGATGTGGTTGTACATTCACACATAGTATATACCTCATTCTGCTGTATACAATATTGTTGCCAGTGGATGTGTACAATATACTGTTTATTGTATAGATTAATTAAGCTGGATGTTTTGCTCGCGGAAAGCTTTTCATTCTTTCACTTTCCCTTTTGCCTTGTTGACTGCTAAAGTGAGTGTGTGTATATATGTGACCTTATTGTGTGTTCCTAAGGATTTTTGATAGTACTTAACTGTGTTGATCTGCCCAAGTCATCTCCCACATATTCCCACACACCCGAGAATGCTCACTCATATGCAATTACTTATAGCGTCCCATTTTCCTCGGTGTGTGTGTTTTTGTATATTGAGTTGCCTCGTGGGCTTGTTTGTGGTGATATGAACCGTCTCCCGGACGACACATGAAAAATGCTCATTGTTGTTACTGCATGCACATGTCCTGCTGTCAACATTGAAATTGGAGCTATAGCTCACCTGTACATGCACACGTAATTCAAGGAATTGATGTACTACAGTGTGTGTAGCTCAGAGGCAGCAAACAAAGTGTGATCATGGGGCTGTGAAATTGACTTGATTTCCTTTTCATTTCGAGGTTCCGTGGTTCCCCTCTATTAGCCTTTCTGCAATGATATCCAGTTGCTTCACTTACCACTATACAAAGAACGGAATGGAGATGACAACTAGCTTCCCCATTGTTACTTCATTGAAGACTGAGTTTTTGAGTCATGAATTATAACTGAAAAATGAAGATTTCGTGACTCAATTCTTAGTGTTAATGAAGAACCAACCAGATACCCAGTAATATAATAATTATATATCCATATTAAAGAAATCTGTACGTCTCTTGCTTGTGCATAGGAAACTATAGCATCCTTTCTTCGAACATGAACTGATTTAAACCTAAACCGGTTTCCAAACCGACTCAAATGTGTCCATATAAAAGGGGCTTATGGTTAGCATAATAATTATGGGTGTAGTCTTACTGTCTCCGATGAGGAATGAATGTGGGTTGATGGCATTTCATGTGTGGTATATCAGGAGTTGCCTTGTGGTTGACCTGTCAGCAGTGAGCCACCTACCAGACCCTGGGTCAGGTGGCAGTATTGGTGGAGTTACGTTTCATTCCATCCTCTCCCATCTTGTGGTACATACAGTAGGTTGATATTGGGCTCTATTGCGATACAAATAATTATCATTCCTGGCAAGTTCACCGATAATTGTTTGCGTTGTCTTGCCATATTTCTTTTGCGTACGATAAATTCCCACCTTTTGCCTCGTACCTTGCTTTTATCCCCCCTCCCTCCCTTCCTCCTCCAGCCCTACTGTGCCAACTGGGAGTAGAATAATAGGATATCTAATGTGTGGTTGTCACAAAGGGGGTTCAAGGTCCGTGGCTCTAGTTTACTATTTCCAAGGTTTCCTACAACAGTAAAACCTCACTATTCCAGCCACACTTGGGACCTGAAAAAGTGGCTGGATTAGTGAGGTTGCTGGATCTCATGGTAGGGTTATTTCGTATGTGAGACTTGCACAGGTTGATAAAGCCATTATTGGCTGCTTCAGCGAGGGTGCTACATTTCAGAGGCTTGGATTAGTGAGGTTTCACTGTATGACCTTTTACTGGACTGTTAACTATGTAGATAGTACATGCCTGTGTTCATGCTTATGTGATTTGAGTGCTAAATGGCCGATGTAAGTGGCAGTCAGAGCAACACCATTAATGTGAACATTGTATCCATTGGGTGTCTTTGCGTAGGTAGTAGGTCGAGAATTGAATTAAGAGACGGGAAGGATGGGAGGAGGAGGATGGAGGAAATTGGTACAGAATGATATTACAATCAAAAAGCACTGAAGTGCCAATCCTCAGCGAACTTTGCGTGTGCGGTCCCACTAATTGATTGACTGGGGTATTAGTATGCGTTTACTCGTGGTCTCCCGCTAGTAGCTAGGGGAGAGTCTGGCACGGGCTGCTACAGTAGTAGATAGCATGCGGGAGACGGGAAGGATGGGAGGAGGAAGAGAGGGAGAGGACGTGGACGATAGAGGAAATTGGTATAGAGAAAAGAAATAGTGTTGTGCTGCTAGTGTGGGTGCAAGCAGGTAGTCTTATAATAAAAACCCGTCCTACCCTTCACCACACAGCAGTATCCTCTGCACTACTGATAGACAAAGAATGTTTTACTTTACTACTTCCAGTTTCCACTTTTTTTCATGACATGCTGGTAGCCCAGTTGGTAGAGCGCTCACCTAGACTGTAGAGTGACGTGGGAGTCAGCAGACTGTGTGCATGTATACATAGTTGACTTGTTTTATTTGCCTTTGACTTCTACCTTGTAGTTGGCACATGCTCACTTCTCCCCCCTCCACCCCAGATTCCGTATGCGTTACTCCCTACTGAGTGACTGTTACTACCTCCACTGGGACGACGGAGTGTGTGCCCCTCTGGCCAAGATTGACGGCCTCTCTCATGGAGCCAACGTCTTCACCGGAGTCAGCAGGCTGTGCGACGACACCACTGGACAGGTCAGCTTCTTGTCTACCAGTTTACATGTATGTTTGTCTATCAGCAATGGTACCACACATTGATCTGGGTGCGCGGTCGATATGGCTCTAGTGCTATATCTGCCTGCCACCTGAGTATTATCTGTGATATTACCGCACTGTCTAACTACTGTCATATAACTCTGTTGGAGAATCCCGATTTCTTAATAAGCTTCCTATCTCCATTTGGTGAATCACTGTATCTTTGTAATAAAGACTATGGCAACTTTTTTTCTGTCGTGTTGGAGTTGATTTGCAACGGAATTGTCTATGTTATGGGGTTGTGCTAAGAACAGTTTGTATGGCCAAATCAGCATTGAAATCTTACTTTCAATTCAGCTATACGTTGGGAAGACAGATATAATGGACAAGAGGTCGGAGGTTACATGGAAATTTGACTTCAGCGACTGTGGTCTGGTGGTTCGGCAGTTCAGGGTCAAAGGTCGTAGCTCCGAAGACGATGAAATTGATTGGAGGGTCATTGGTGACGAGAGGGTTGGCTGCAGACCAATGCTAGCTGGTGGGTTTAAACCTAGATAGCCGATGAGGTTACATCGAGGATTAGCTAGTCATAATCTGTGCATCCCATACCAAAATTTTTTTTTAACTGGTAGCCAAAATGTTAAAACATGTAGCCATTGGCCTATTTGGCCAAATGCTACTGGGAATCCCTGAACTTAATGTATGTAGTTATGGTTGGTCCTTATTCGGTGTTGTTTTGCTACGCAAAATCTGCATGAGCTCTGCCAATTACCATCATCCTCTGTACATATGGGCTGTTTAATTAGGGTTTGAACATGCATCACCTACTAAAAGGAAGTTACACCTGAACTTATTCCCTGTTTGTAGCACTTTCTATGTACATGTAGGAGTATTACACACCAAGTTTGTGTATGCGTGTACATGTGCAGCTGTAAACATGTAGGTGATGGTCCAGGGAAGGTTGGAGGAAATCCTCCTACTGGGGATGTAGCTAGTGGTTCAGCTATGACGTAATGGTAATTAGGCAATCAGTATTATGCTCTTCCCTCCACAGCTACTGATGACTATATTGACATTCCGGAGGTCAGTGGTTGCCGAGTGGTGACAGTTACAGCGGTGATCTACGCGGCAACGAAGGGGCAGACCCTCCATGTATTGAAGGAGGCAGAGGAGGCAATGCATGGGGAGTGTCCTCTGGATATCAAAGTGGACTTGATGGTGAGCCTTTAGCTGGGTTGACGGAGTGGCAGTATTAAAAGAGCTACAATAACTTTCGCTGAATGTTCTGTTTATGATGTATATCATAGTCTGCTGTTAAAAGTGCTACAACGTCATCATCCTGAGCATTGTATATAAATACCAAACATACAACATGAATGTAATTTTGTGTGCATCCATCCACTTTGCAGTGTCCACGTTCGCAAGAGGAGGGATATGTGGGGGAGATATTGCTGGGCGTTAAATGGAACCCGGTGGACGAAGACGTAGGAGGAGGGAGTGAGGGACAGCTCCAGGTGTACATTGTGGAGGGAGCTGGGATGGTGGACGAGGACACTCACAAACCTTTCAACGCCTTCATCAGATGGTAAGGCACCACCACCACCCTCATTCCATTCATTCCCCACATTCCACTTATAATTACAGTCGAACCATGTTAATGTAAACTCCAGGGGACCATCAAAAAATGTTCATATTAAACGGAATTTCAACAGTACCTAGTTGTATTAGTGTTATAATGCCTGGGGATTTCAAAGTGGTTCGTATTAAGCAGGTATTTCGCTTTAACAGTGTCCATATTAACGAGGTTCCACTGTACCCCCTACTTATGTACATACATAGCATTGCTGCATGAGATGTACATAAATGATAGTCAGGCTGTGGTTCACAAAATGATCAAATTGCTGTTGGCAGGCAAACGCATAGCCATCATACTGTGGTAGTGGTTATTAGCAGGCAAATGCAAATGATAGCAAGTGTAGTGAGGTTTTAGTTATTACCTAATCCAATTTGCGTTGCTAATTACAGTAACCTCCTCCCGGAGGGCAAGAGGGAGCACACGAGTCCCCGTCAGACGGCGTTCCCCAACTGGGCCAAACAGTTTCACTTCCACCACGTGGATAGAGGGGACCTGGTGAATGGGGGCCTGGAGGTCCTCCTCTGCGACAGCCACCTCCTCTATAACTCCACCATCGCCGGCATCAGGTGTGTAGATAGATACTGTTGTAGCAGAAATGTTTAGCTGTGCATACAGCTAGTACGTATGTATCACTGTGTCACTCATTAGTATTATGCCTATCGTGTTTATACAGTTTCCATAATCAAAGGCTTATGTGGAGTCAGTGTTAATTTTATTATGAGCATAAGGTTCTGCCAACCACTTGGTTCAATGTGGAATCTGACTAGTCAGTTTGCTAATAGGTCTTCGCAATTTACAGTGCCATGCACATTCTTTCAATCCTCACAAGTAGAACAAAAGCCAACGTGGTTGAATATGTACAAAGGCCCTCATGATTATGTATGGTGTGTAACAGGATGGAATGGTCCTGGAGATACCCAAAGGTCCATGTCCTTGGGGTCAGTGCTTCCACATGAACTGTACAGGTGAAGACTGTAAGTGTTCAGGCCAAGGGATTTGACCCGTCCTATTGCACTTCCCTACTGTTGGCTCAATGTAGTGGTGACAGTAGCCAGTCAAACGTGCCAACCTTGTCATCTCAAGTTACGCAATATTTAATCTGTACGCAACCATGCTGGCCATACTGTAACACTTAACTAAATACCATAAAACAGTTGATTACGTTTATGTATTAGTTAAAGCACCATGTGAGTGTACATACTACGGGTGCAAAGAGTCGACTACCACACGTGGAGTGGCTCCCAGTAAGTTTGGTAGATCCTGGGACAGTTGGCCAGCCCAAATTCTACCATTCAATAATTTCGTAGTACGGCATTTATTGTACTGTCAGCACCTTTGATACACCCACGCATCGTGCTACAAAATAACGTGTTGCATTCGTTTTAGTGTGTTACTGGTGGTGTTTTCTCCTGCTGTGCAGACTGTGTGTCCCACAGAAGAATGAGAGGAAGACCTCAGACCTGAAGACCAGTCCGTACGGCTCTCCTCTCCTGAGGTCTCCCGCCATCTCACGCAGCGCCTCTCCTTCTCCCTCCACTCACAGTGGTATGTATAATATAAGTGGGCACGGAGGGAGGGGTGGGGAAAAGGAGGAGGAGCATTGGAGAGTGGGGAGGGAGGGAGGGAATTGGAGCAAGGAGGGGGGGGCAGAAGGGAGGGATGGAAAGAAAGGAGGGAGAGGTTGGGAGGTAGGGGTGGGGCTACAGAGGTTTTGAAGATAGCAGCAGAGAAACTGGTCTCATGCCCACACACCACCCATGCATTACATGGGAAAAGGTCTGGTGACTATTGACACAATTCTAGGTCCTACAAAGATATCGAAAATGAGTATCCAAGCAGATTGCAGAACGGCAACCAATCAATGTCACACGCATCCTTAGTCCGAAGACTTTTGTTGATACTGTAAGCATTACATACACAAAGAGCGGTTTGGAAACCACGGATATGGTCTTTGGGATCACCAGATGCTCCTTTCCCCTTGTGGATGGAGCGGCTGGGTACGAGACTAGAGAGAGACCTGATAGAGGGTTACTGTGCACCATGTGTGCTGTTGGGACGCATGAAGTAAACTAACGGCATGCTCTATAGTACTCCTTGAAATGTAAAGTGCACAAGTTTACGTGTGTGTCCCTCCCTCTCCAGCCGACGCATGGGATGAGAGAAGTCCCCACTCACCCTTCTCACACCCTCTCCAGAACAGTCGTCACTCCTCCCCCTCCCCCACCTCCCTCCATCTGCCACCCTCCCCATCCCAGAAGGCACAGTCCGTCGACAGTCCCAACCCTCCGTCGTTTGAGAGGTTTCCCTTCCCTCCCTCGGCCCCTCCTGCCTTCCGGAGGTCGCTGACCCCTACTCCTACCACCAATTCTCACGGACTATCACCTCGTGAGTGGCTGGCTGGGTGGGTGGGTCATGGGGTAGTGTGCTGTATCTGGTCCCTTACCACTGACACTGCTTGCTGTAACCGTATCTACAGCAAAAATGCACATACACTAGCAAGTATTGAAGGAAGGTTCAAGGAAGGTTCTTTCTCTGTCTCTATGATAGCTTTGTAGTGGCCGATACAAACGATTCATGTTGCTGCTGCATTTTATAAAATGCAGCATGACTTAGTATAACACGCCAACGGGAAAAAACTGAACAAACATCATGCTGAGTTCAAACCATTTTACTATATTATACCCGAGTGTCAGTTGTTGTCGTATATAGCTTCATTCTCTCTTTATCTCTTCTCTAAAATATCCAGCCGTCTTGAGACGGAGCCACTCGCCCATGTCCATCGCCAAGTCAATCTTTCGTCTCTCGGGGAGCCATCTCCGCGACCCCTCGGCCTTCTCCCCCCTCTCGTCCCCCATCCTCGGAGGACGGAAGAAGGTCAAAGGTCATCGGGGTAGCGAGGACTCGGAGTATGCATACCCCTGGATGAGTGGGGTGGGGAGGACGGAGCGGAGTCAGTGGCAGCAGATGTTGGACCAGGAGGGGGAGTGGGTGTACTGTTGGCAGACTTTCAGACCCAACCTCAAGCCTGCAGCCCACTCATGACACTGCTACACATTTTATGTATAATTATATCACCACCTCATCACTATAATTAATTTTATATTATATGAGAAGAGCTTGACTGCTGTTTTTTGTTCAAATTATGTTGCTGCTCTAGTTCCATGCCAGAAAAGTGTGATAACAAAAAACGGCCTAGGAACAAGGCTCAGCTAGGAAAGAACAAGCGGTCATTACACAGAGGACACACCTGTCCCTACCTTCGTCTGATTGTTTGCCTAACAATAGAACAAAGATATAGGGATAATGCCATGTATTATTATAGCATGAAAACTTAACAGCTCACGCTATATACATAGAAAGAAAGAAAGAAAGAAAACAGGACTTCGGAAGGGTTACAAAACCATAAGGGCTTACTTTGGACATGTGCAAAAACATGTGAGCTGATGCACGATGGCGGTGAAATGACTATATATATACAACAGACGGTACGGACACAGGCAGTATAGCTAAAAGTTATCAAAAGGTATCAAAATAATGTGTGATAATATAAAATAAACCATATAGAAGGTATAAAAAGGTTACAAAAATTAACACCCATAGGAACACAGCAGCACAAAAATAACATCATAATTATAATTATGAGGTAAAACAGTAGTGTAGGGCAGTACCATTAGAGAGGTCAGCTAGCAAGACCTATAGGCATAGAAGGGTGCCCCGGCCTTGAGAACCAGGGATGGTGGGTTAAAGAGTCTTATATAATAAATTATTACATATTGTTTTTATGTGTTAACATGTTTTAGCTGCGTTATGACCCCTTGTCCTTTTTCATGTTTTGAGTCATTCCTATATCCCCCTGCTGAAGAAATGATTTTTCCACTTGTTTGTTAATGCGTTCAACAAAGTTGCTAGTTTCTGCGTGGACCCTACGCCGGCCATAGCTGCGTACTACTTTGCCTCTCGTGTTCGTATCATGAATGCCCTTTAGTCTCTTGTTCCTATTATTATTATAGGCCATCATTGTTATCACACTTCTTTGAAATAATTAAAATCCACCTCCTTTCGACGGACCAGTCGAAGTCAAAGTTCATGAATACAGTCCCGCAGGTGGTCCACAAAAAACGAGGACAAAAACGTCACAGTCTGTTATTTTTGGCAGTATAGGCCATGAACAGTCAGGAGGGAGGTTGAGTGGAGTCGCTCAGCCAGGTGTAGGCCAGCTTGCGGTTGGTGGGACATTGTTTGGAGCCGTCCATGGTGAGCGAAGTTTCGGTCCATGTTGAGCGAAGTTTCGGTCAGGTGCTGGAGGCCAACCGTAGAGCCCTAGCCTGACCCCACCCTCAAAGTTCGGGAAGGGGTCAGGCTACGCCGGACTAGAGCAGTCCCAGAGAGTTGACCTCTGCAAGCAGGGGGTGCACCATCCTCTTCTTGTAACCTTTTTCATTCATGAGCCCCACCCTTTTACGAGACCCGCCCACATTTCCAACGTCCTCGGCCGGACCTCGAGCTCTCATTCGAATTCTCGGCCTTTTGGAACACAGAGTCAAGCACTTCAGTAAGTTATGTTGGCAACATTTGACCTGGGACTCTGAAGACAAAAACGCCTTCGCGTACGTTACTAGGTAAAAGCCTGAAATTAGTTATGGCTACTAAGCAAGCTTGGGAACCTAGCGCAGAACTTGATGAGAGCAACTTGAAAGATTTGTGTGAAGCTCTGTATCCAGTGAGTACTAAGTACAAGTCCGTTGGTTTGACAATTGGGGTGTTAAAATCTGAGATAGATATTATTGAGGCCCAATACCGTGACCCTGTTGAGTGCCTGCTTGAAATACTATCAGTTCGCTTAAAACAGACTCCTGCTTTATCATGGGGTGAGGTTGATGAAGCATTGAGATCATGTCTTCTGCGTGAGAAAGAGGAGTCTGAATACCAATGTAAGTCTCTCGCCATCAGCAGTGAAGAATCAGAGAAACGTGGAAAAAAGAAACACAATACTGAATCACAACCTCATTCAACTCAAGCAGGGAAATGTAAAAATACTGATTTACAGGCTTCAGATAACCTTGAGTATGGAGAACCAGATCCTAATGATAGAAGTGAAGAGCAAGACTCAAATAATTCAGAAACAGAACTTGATAGTGAGTCTTCTGCTGTCAGCAGTAAAGAACAAGTTAATAAAAGGAGAGGGAGGAAAAACGTATTAAGCGCACCATCAAAATCACACTTTCATGGATGCAAAAATACGGTAAATAGCAGGAGGGACAAGAAGAAACTCGACATAAAACCGCGAAAGTATGGATTGACAGGTCTTAAGGTTCTTGTTCTACTTCAGACGAAGACCAACCATTGAAAAGACAAAGGCCAAAAAATAAATACGATATGGTGAAAACCAGGAAGACCGTAAGAAAGCAAATTTCATCAGTTTCAACAAATACTGATGAAAGTTCACCAGAGTGTACTATTAATTTATCTGACTCTGAGAGTAAGAATGTCAGAAAAGTTTATAAGCGCTTTTTTGGGAGACTTTGCTTGGTTTTAAAAAATCCTACTGAAATTGCTGCAGAGTTTCAGATTAGGTGCCTCATATCCTACTCAGTTATGCATGAGCTACTCATATCTCCTGAATCCCAGCAATCAAAGGCCATCACATTAGTTACAGCTCTGCAAAAGAGAATAGAAACACACCCAGAGATAATATTTGCAATCATTGAAGTGTTAATGCAAAATGAAATTCTTCAGCAAACTGGAAGAGAAATGTTGACAGAAGCAGGTAAGATAAATTATTGTTTGGACCTTCTATATTGATGTAATAAAGTACTTCTCGCACATTTTGTGCAGGAAAGGTTTGTGCTACTGGTAGAAAAATCATGTTTTCGGGAAATCAGTCACTGTCTTCTGAGGCATCGATTCTTGGTAAAGGTAAATTTTTTTACAAATGGAATAACTCATTTATTTATCACATATATAATATAAAATAATTATAGAGACATGGACCATTGGATTAATAAAACCCAACAACCAACTACATCCACCGTAATATCAAGAAGTACATTATCATCACCTGGAGAATTTCATGGCGTATCACAGTCAAGTGTAAATCCGATATTGACAAGGTACAAGGATTACTTATGTTCTTATTACAATGCTAGGGATATAGCCCCAGCCGACAAGTACCTGCCTACTACTCTAGATTCTCCTTACATTAATCTTGCCATTGTTTGTAAAACACGCTACAATGCAAAAGAAAGAGATGAGTTTACAGCACAAACTCTGCATGGAGGGGTTGACCAGATACTTATGAAAAAGAAGCCGATTAAAATAGAAAATCTGTTGACTCCAGAAAAAAACGATAAGCCAGTTAGGTTTATTCTAGTAGAAGGTCCCCCAGGAATTGGAAAAAGTACACTTTCGTGGGAACTCTGTAGAAAATGGGACGAGATAGAAGGCCTTAGATGCTACCAAATTATTCTGCTCCTGCAGTTGAGGGAAAAGTGGGTATTAAATGCAACATCTCTTGCTGATTTGTTGAGATATCCATCTCACCCTGACTTTAGCACTAGTATAGCTGATGAGCTAGTGAAAACACAAGGGGGAAATCTCTTACTGGTTTTAGATGGCTTTGATGAAGTGTCACACAATTTTCATCATAATTCTGTTATAAAAAGTGTTTTATGCAAGCAACTATTGCCAAAATGTTCCATTATTCTCACTACAAGATCTGTAGCCATGTGCCAGCTTAATAAAATCTGCCAGCCGCAAGTTGATAAACATGTAGAAATCCTTGGGTTTACAGAGGAAGAGAGAGTGAGGTATATTAATAAGGTTTTCAATCGGAAACCAGAGCTCCAGGAAGATTTCTTGAAGTATATGTTTCGTGTCCCTCACATAAGGTCAATGATGTACATTCCCCTCAACTGTGCCATTATAGCACAAGTCTATTACGAATCTCATTGTAGCCGCCACCTGGCTAAACCAAAGACAAGAACACAGCTGTACGAGGCACTTACTCATTGTCTTCTTGTTAGACACTTTGAAGGAACGGAGAGCCACAATGATTACCATAGTACATCAATGCTTCCTGATGGCCTAAATTATAAACCCATGGATATGTTTAAACGATTAGCTGAGTTTGCTTTTCACAGCTATCACAACAGTGCATCGAAAAAGGTCACTTTTTTCAAAGAGGATATTCCTGATGGACTGGTTCATTTTGGATTTATGAATGAATGCACTGAAATGTATGCTAGCAAAGGAGTAGAGCACACATTCTCTTTCCTCCACCTTAGCCTACAGGAGTATCTAGCAGCTTGGCACCTGGCTAAAAGTTACAGCGTTGAATTTCAGGTAGCATATCATAGGCTGGCTGTAGGGTCATACACTATATATCCGGTGTACCAAGGGGGCAATAAAGAGGAAGATGCTCTCATTTCTTTACTAGAGGGGAAAAGGTTGTCACTAGTTGAGCCAGCCATATTTCTGGCTGGTATCACTGGCTGGAGATGCCAGTTAGGGGATAACAGTAACCACTGGGGAATTTATATTAGTCAAGACACAGTTGATGTCGAAGATTGCAGTGTATTGTTACAGTCGGTGTATGAGACTCAAAATCCAAATATAATAACGCTATACTTTTTAACTGAGAAAACTCCTATTTCAAGAAACAAGTTCGTAATAAATCCATCAGAGTACGATACTTTGTGTACACCATATTATGTTTATGCTCTTTCGTATTCATTAGCACACTCTAAAGAAATATTCAGTTTTACCCTTGAAATCAGACATAGTGATGATATTTCTCTGGTTGAGACATTTGTTAGAGGTCTTAATGATCACTGCAAGTCTACCGCACCAACAATTAAGCATCTTCAAGTAGGAATATCTACTGAAACGGTGACCACTGTGACCAACTGCCTCTTTTGGCTATTAAAAGCCAATTTTTTGACTGAAATTGAATCAGTTGTATTTAGATCAGACGTCATTGGCACTGCACTAGCCTATGATTTTATAAAGTCACTTGTTCAACTTAAATCACTTGAGATTACTCTAGGTTCTTGTACATGTTGGAAGTGGTTTGCTGCATTAAATTTCCTGAGTCAACTGAAGATTTTGCATATCTGTGTCCGCAAAGAATGCTCTCCCCTGGAACTGCCAATCGATCGCCATTGCTTGACACTTCCGCCTAAAGTGACAGATGTTGTGTTTTACAACAACTTCCCCTCTAATTTAGCATATGATATGTGCAGTCAAACAGATAAATTAATTGGCTCTGTACTGAAATCAGTTAACGTTAACAGATCATCTCACATCACTAAATTGGTGTTGCCCAACATATCTCGTGAAACAATGAGTGGTGTCTATAACATCCTACTACACTGTCCAAGTCTTGCCACATTAGAACTAAGGAATACTAAACTTGGTTATGATGGAATCCTTTTCATATTTAGTACACTGAGAACCAACTCAACTCTAAAACATCTTAAGATTCATGAGACTTTAGAACTACCATCGTTCAAAACAAAAACACCGTTTAGTATTGGATACTCATTCTTCAAATCCATGAAAATAGTTCCTCTTTCAAGTAAGATAACCTGCACCAGCTTTCTTCTGTCCCTAAATGATATCCTTAGGCACAATACCAGTCTGAAGGATGTACAGATTCAGTGTGGATTGTTCCTCCCTCTTTCCACTGGTGGTTGCCGAGAATGTTATCAGTGGACAGGACTTGAACCTCTTTCACAGTTCAACCTAGGAGCTATTAGTAGAGGCACACCTCCTAATATCAAAAGATCATTTTCATCATCAAATCTGACTAAACCCCAGACCAAAATTTTCTGGTGGCGACAATATATGCCCACAGTACCAGAATATGCAGACGTATGTTTTAACAATATATTCTCGAGGAAGAAACCCGGAGAAAGATCATCCTCTCTACTGTCTTTCACTGCTCCAGACACAGACATTCTACAGTCATTCTCTGGTCTTGATCCCCGTCTCAAGGAATGCCTGGGGATATCTGATCTCGATCAGTACAAGAATACGCTCATTGAAACATATTGGGGGATGATGAAAGAACTCTCATTACACTCACAACTCAATGGCAGCTGCAATGGTGTAGCTTATTGTATGGCATACTGAAGAGATAAAAGTATCAAAAGTATACCTTGTAATCCAATATGCAACGTAAAAGTTACTTCCTTCTCTTCACTTAATGCATAAAACTATTAATTCTTAATCAATAAAATTGTTTTAAAGTAGTTTAGTATGTCTATGCCATTTAACGTGCAGAGCTCATAATTATATTTTACCCAAATGAGGGGAGGGGGGTTGTGCAGTTTTGCCTAAGAGCAGGCTAGCTATAAACAGCTGAAGCAGTGGAGCTACTAACGCCAACAAGCCCCGAAACAGCTGTCCAGAGCTCCACATTTTTTTTCTCTTGGCATCACAAGGTCTAATACCTTCATGCTGGATGTTGGTATGAGTAAAGTAGAGCCAGCTGAATGCAAATGCAGTTGATATCAAAAAAGCTCAGGTATAATTATTATCCATGGTGAATCATGTCTCTAGACAGCACGACTGCATTAAATAATAGCAAATATATAGCAAATATATAGCAATCAAAGCTGTCTGCTGCTTATACTCTGTTTTCTGTGTTTGAGAGGAATACTCTTCCTTGCATTTGTTGATGACTTCAGGCTTACTACGGCCATAGGCCTGGATTTCCATGTGGATACAGACCGTTGTGGTATTTGACTCATCTTCCCAGAAACCCTGTCATTGTCTCAAGATCGCAGGACTGTTGTCGGAGCCCATCTTCGTCTGCCAGCACACCGAAATCAAGTCCTGCTGCATGACTTCGAAAGCCTTTTCCCTCCCATCATTCTTGGTATACCAGATATAGCTAGGGTGGTTTGCTCCAAGGACGGGTACACTAACACCACTAACAGTAATTTTTGCTTCTGGCACACTAACACCACTAACAGTAATTGTTAACGCCAAAAGTAGTTTCCCAATTTTCTCTGCTGATCATAATCTCGACCATGTTTGGTAGGTCATAGTGGGCATCAAGAGTCCAGTAGTGTATCTGGCCAACTGTCAGCTAAGAGGAGATGGGGGATGGAAAGAAAGATGGAGGGGATTATGAGGTTTTTTGTAATATCACCCTCAAAATAAAGGTCCATATTGGCAGACAGCAAGCCTAACCCAGTCGCACGAATAAATGCCATGTAAATGGTGTAATTTTGCACTTGTGCTTGTTGTTGCATTGTTTGTGCTCTGTTAAAGCTTTGTTTAAACCTCTCCATAGTTTTTCCCTCTCCTTGTAAAAGTGCCCGTAAATGGGCCCGTAGACTATTGCTAGTGTGTTTTGAAGCCCTAGCGAGTCATTATCACTGAGTTATCGTGGATCACGTGAGATTTGACCAGTGCCATCCCTATATCCCTTTCGGTCACAAAATGTTGTATATTTACACACTTCTAGAAACATCAACAAAACTCACACAATTGTTAACTTCGACCCGGTAGGCGGGCGGCATGGCAGCATTATCTCGTAAAAACCACCCACGCAACCTCAGAAGTGGTCGGTCGGCACTTGGATGTGGCGGTCAGATCTTTGGTGTTGCTTTCATCTACCCTTTCAGTACTCGAAGTAAAATAAAAGGATGGCACTCGTAGTAATGCCGCAGTGAATTATAACTGCACTCATCACTGTGCCAACATATCCCTCATGGAACTTGGCAACATAGTGCATTGCTATAAAAGCAACCAAATAGAAGGTTTGTGTAGAATCACAGTCCCACTAGTTTGGTATCAACAGACAGACGACACTGTGCATGCATGGTTTTATGATCATGTTACAATCAGTGTGCAATGTACGCTAATGAGTCATATTTGTCCCTGCTTATGAAACAATGAACACCAACACACTACCACACTATTGTTTTTCAAAGTTATCAGCTATCAGCTCCAAAAGTGACTCCTTTCTCCTTCCATTTGATATGGTGTTGGAGGCACCGGCTGTCGATATCGTGACCTTCTGTCTTTCTTCGTCCTCATCCTCAGCTCTGATCCTGGCTCTGTGCCACAGAGGATAACGATCCTCTTCCTCTCTCTGTGGTGGTTCTGGCTTCCTTCCAATCCAAGCCTTCCGTACTCCGTACCAGACATGGCCCACACAGATTCCCAGGAACACAAGGAAACATATCCCCACAAAAACTATGTAGATATATACGTAGGCATGTGGTCCAAGTCCAGTACTGATGTACAAGACGGAGAGATTTGAAAAAGAGAAGATGAGCAGAATTGTGAAATATCTCTACCATTCATAAGAGCTTTCATGTATGGTCTCATGAGAGCAGTAATCAGAGTGAGCAGTGCACAGGTTGAGAGATTGAGAAGAAGTTGATTCAGTTGAGGACCAGCCACTGTGTTGGTGTTGGCAATGCTGGAGAACAGGACTATCAGAACCACTCTCGCTAGCAGTAGCATTCCCATCCAGTAGCGATAGCTGTCTTTGTACGGACCCATGTATGCATCAAACAAAGGCTTGAACCTGTTGTACAGAGAGGACACCTGCTTTGAACCTCGACCTCTGTATCCAGGGAGCAGCAGTCTGAGTGACTGTATATGGTACTCCCAATAGCAGGAGCAGTAAAAGTGCTACTAGAAAGAGAATGGCATGTTTTGGATCAAAGTACTCGATTTTGCCATCAGCCAGCCACACCACACTATGGTAGCTAGCCCTGTGACCCAGTGAGTGTGGAGGAGAATGCTGTGATGAGGATTCTCAGGATCTTGGTGTAGGAGAGAAGGACTAGAGTGGCCAGAACTGAGACTGCATTGGTCCCGAGGAGCCAAGTCACTATGTCTAGAGTATTTGCTGGCAATGATTATGCCAGAAAGTAGAGAGGAAACACCAACTGTAGCCATGTTTTTTACGTAGGTTGTCAGTCCCTCAAAGAAGCATACGGGAATGCCTAGATCCAGGTTCAGCCATGCTATGAAGGCACTCAGAAATGCAATTAAGGCACTGGTATGAGATGAAGTTGGTGGCAGAAATGTAATTTTGTTGGCTTGCAAGCAAAGAGAATGAGTCTGTTCAGAGTCCCAACTGACACTCTCAGGTTTAGTAGAGTAACCACGGTAACTATAGCCACACCCATTAGAATGAAGATGCTGATGGACACGAGGTAGATGTTGGAGCAGGTCTTACACTCTGAGGCTCCGAGGATCATACTGAGACCTTCACGACAGCTGCCACAGAGGACTCCTGGTCGCTGGTATATGCTGGCATTGACTGTTGGGAGACTCTGCATTGATGTATATAGGCAAAACAAAAACTCTATTGGGAACCACCATAATGTAAGAGATTGCGAGATCAGCGTGTGAAACTAGAGATTGGTCTGCAGTTATACAGCAGTGTGGGAAAGCAGCACTGCAAAGAATGTGTGTGGGTGGTTTGAAATCACTTTTGCATAATGACTTGGATTTCATGGATGCCAGCAATTATGGTACCTATTGGCTTCAAACCATACTATAGTACTAAATGAAAAGAATTGCTAATCTAAACAGCACAAACGCACAGTCTTTTATAAAGTCAGGACAACTATTACAATCAAAGCTGTCTGCTGCTTACTCTGTTTTCTGTGTTTGAGAGGAATGCTCTTCCTTGCATTTGTTTATAGCTTCAGGCTTACTACGGCCATAGGCCTGGATTTCCATGTGGATAAAGACCGTCATGGCATTGTTGTAAGAAGAGTTTCATTATTCACCACAATTCTCCCACTATTAACCCTCGGCGCGCATGCGCAGTGAGGGTTACAGTAGTTGGGTCTGAGTTCTGAAAAAGAAGAACGCAGCGCATGCGGTAGTTCAATAATTTAGGCTGAGCCGCTTTATGTATATACGTAGAAGCGTTTCCGCGCGCAGGTGCGGTACGGCTGCTATATACCTCTCACTTCTCGAATGTTTTTTCGTCTCACAAACGATACTACCTACTTAACGGGCAATGAAGGTCACAAAATTTGTGCGGTTTTCTCTGAAAATGCTCCGCTGCAAAGCTAGAGCACGAAAAAGCCAATATGCAAATACACAACGGATCCGCTTGCTCTGCGTACTGCGGAGGCACCAGAAGATGCAACGCAGGGCGTGTATCGCCTTTCGTATGCTATCTAGGTGTAGTTAGCCCGCGTCAGACTCTGCTTGAGCTGGCAAGAGACCACGAGAAACAGCTAAAACTAAACCCAGCCCATCAATTAGTGATACCGCGCATGCGTTTACTTACGCGTGCACGTCACAATGCGCCGACTCCAGTGCTTTGTAAAAGTCAGCACAGCCAAATGCTGCGCACACTCATGGTTAACAGTCCCAGTGACGGAAGTAATACCAGTGCTACGTATGTAGTCCCGCCCTCTGCCTGAGATGTGGAAGTGAGCTGTTAAATGTCTGCTTATAAACTCTTTTCCTGTGTACCTGAACGATTCATTGTGCTTACATGCCTATTATGTTCACTAAGCCATACCCTTTTGGGGTGTGATTTGTGTCAACCCCATATAGTCCGCTGTTCGAGGATTAGGTTGGCAGGTTCAGTGGTTTTCTGGAGTGGCAGTCAGACACCTGCTGTAAGAACAGCCTCTCTCCCTCCCCTCCACCCTCTTCCAGCCACCTAGCTATACTGATCTTTCTGTTATAGGAAGAGGGAGAAAGGGAAGATGGCTGAAGATTAAGCCTAAGATAAATGCAAATTACTAAACCGATATGCACACCTAATACTTTAAACCGCTCTTACAGTTCATAATTTTTAGAGAAGAGCACAGCTATCTATACCTGAGCAAGCAGCATGGACAGCTATTGTTGGTGGTAAAAGTTCATGTGTGTCAAATGCACATCTACGCTACGCCTGTGTTCATTCATGAGCAAAATCAGCGGCGTGAGCATGCACGCCCTATTGGTCACAGTCTACGTTACATTTCGCCACTAATCCTTATGATAATCATGCATGCACAAACAAAAGGAATGTCGATCCTCTGCTAATTAGATAAAGCTACTCTCCATAGGAGTGTCATTCACGAAATCTCATAGTCTTTAGCATTGTTCCTCAGCCTCCTGATCACCAACAAGTAATTGCTGCTGCTCGTTTGAAAAAGCATCATAGGCTACATTATCTTGCTGCTCAATAGATGGAGTAACATTCTTCTGCTGATTAGTACGAGTAACATCTTTACTTTCCTCTGGCTGTGTCTGCAGTGGGATCTCATTGCTTGCTGCCTTTTCGGTTTTGTCAAGGACAGAAGAATTGTAAGGATTATCTGGATCATTATAGATGGGATCTGGAGTTGGTAGAGCAAACTTCTTCTTTTTCTGTCTCATAATTCCAATCACAATGGCTATAATGACAATAGCAATCAGTAGAGCTGCTATCACTCCAGTTACGATGATGATTATGATTCTAGTGTTTGAAGACCCATCAGATTTTTCATCACCTATATAATACGAACCATGAGAGCTCTGGAGGTACATACAGAATTCCATTTCAGGACATGCATAGTGGCTATAATTATATGCACAGTGTGCACTTTCACACAGGCACCTAGGCCCCCCTCCCCTTTCACTACACTACTATAATGTGAACAACTACGAGGTAAAAACGAAAACGCACATCAAACAAAGCAACTATAGCCACCAACGATAGCTCTTTTTTTCCAAGAGCTGCCCTAGGTGGGATTCAAATCCAGGACACTCTGCCATCTAGGCAAGCGCTCTACCAACTGAGCTAGTTACCTCACTGTCATTGTCAAGTATGGTAACAGTGGGCACTGCAGGAGTGTCCATATCTCCAGTATGCGAATAATGCTACTAACTGACTCACGTATGCACGATGGTGTACTTCCAGTCCATTCTAAATCACTCCCACATGTCCTAGTGGGGTCTCCCTTAATCAAATATCCCACAACACAATAATAGACAGCCACATCACCAGTCGTAAAACCAGTCTCATTAACTGCACCATTAGGAATCATCAGTTTAGGGCACCCTGAAATAGAGTGGTTAAGACAAGTGAAAGAAAAGCTGTCAGCATATTATTTTAGTTACACGAAAAAATCATAAAGGTGTCGGACGGCCATATCTATTATATGCGTTGGGAAGTTACTTACTTTGGCATGTAGGGGCAGATCCACTCCATGTTCCATCACTTTGACAAACACGCTCCGACACGCCAACCAGATTTAAACCATCTTCGCACACATATAGTGCAGTGTCTTGATAAACACCAGTTCCAGATATTAGAAGTGAGCCATTCACGGGACTTCCAATGGGAGGACACTGGACAGCTGTATTTAAATAGGCCAAGTCCACACTGAGCTAGCCTGTGACAGTAACATGCTTACCCTCGCATACAGGAGGGTTGCCACTCCATTGGCCCTCAGGACCACACGTCAGTATTGAGTCTCCAACCAAATTGAAACCAGTGTTACATGTGTACTCTGCTGTCTGTCCAAAAGTGTATCCACTCGGGTTCACATTTCCATTTGCAGGATCGTTCAGAGTGGGGCACACAACAACTGAGTGGAAAGAAAGTTGGTGTTATATCCAGTGGCAATTGTCACGCTAAACGCATTTACTCTGGCATGTAGGTGCAGATCCACTCCACGTGCCATCACTTTGACAAACACGCTCCAGCGAGCCAACCAGATTGAAGCCAGTTTTGCATGCATATGTTGCAGTCTCCTGGTAAACACCAACACCAGTTCCAGATATTAGCACTGAGCCATTCATGGGACTATTGAGAGTAGGACACTGGACAACTGTGTTGAAATAAGCGAAGTGCAGTTAGTGAGTCTGTGATACTAAGATGCCTACCCTCACATACAGGAGGGTTCCCAATCCACTGGCCATCAGCACCACACATCAATATTGACTCTCCAATCAGACTGAAGCCAGTGTTACATGTGTACTCTGCTGTCTGTCCAAAATTGTTTCCACTGAGTTTGAGATTGCCATTATCAGGATCATTCAGAGTGGGACACTCAACTACTGAGCGGAAATAAGGTGGCTTTAGAATAATCACACAAAACTATACTTACTGTTGCATGTAGGGGCAGATCCACTCCATGTGCCATCACTTTGACAAACACGCTCCGACATGCCAACCAGATTGAAACCAGTTTCGCATGCATATGTTGCAGTCTCCTGATAAACACCAACACCAGTTCCAGGTATTAGCACTGAGCCATTATTGGGACTATCGAGAGTAGGACACTGGACAGCTGTGTTGAAATAAGCAAAGTGCAGTTGGTGAGTCTGTGATACTAACATGCTTACCCTCGCATACAGGAGGGTTTCCAATCCACTGGCCATCAGGACCACACATCAATATTGACTCTCCAATCAGATTGAAGCCATTGTTACATGTGTACTCTGCTGTATCTCCAAAAGTGTTTCCACTGAGTTTGAGATTGCCATTATCAGGATCATTCAGAGTGGGACACTCAACAACTGAGTGGAAATAAGAGAGTGTTACAACCAGTGCCTACTGCCACATTAAATGTGTATTTACTCTGGCATGTAGGATCAGATCCACTCCACATGGCATCACTTTGACAAACACGCTCCAACATGCCAACCAGATTGAAACCAGTGCCGCATGCATATGTTGCAGTCTCCTGGTAAACACCAGCACCAGTTCCAGATATTAGCACTGAGCCATTATTAGGACTATCGAGAGTAGGACACTGCACAGCTGGGTTGAAATAACAAAGTGCAGTTAGTGAGTCTGTGATACTAAGATGCCTACCCTCGCATACAGGAGAGTCCCCAATCCACTGACCATCAGGACCACACATCAATATTGACTCTCCAATCAGATTGAAGCTATTGTTACATGTGTACTCTGCTGTATCTCCAAAAGTGTTTCCACTGAGTTTGAGATTGCCATTATCAGGATCATTCAGAGTGGGACACTCAACAACTGAGTGGAAATAAGAGAGTGTTACAACCAGTGCCTATTGTCATGTATTTACTCTGGCATGTAGGGTCAGATCCACTCCACATGCCACCACTTTGACAAACACGCCTCACTATGCCAACCAGATTGAAGCCAGTGTCGCATGCATATGTTGCAGTCTCCTGGTGAACACCAGCACCAGTTCCAGATATTAGCAGTGAGCCATTCATGGGACTATCGAGAGTAGGACACTGGACAGCTGTGTTGAAATAAGCAAAGTGCAGTTAGTGAGTCTGTGATACAAGATGCCTACCCTCACCACATACAGGAGAGTCCCCAATCCACTGGCCATCAGCACCACACATTAATATAGACTCTCCAACCAGATTGAACCCATTGTTACATGTGTACTCTGCTGTTTGTCCAAAAGTGTTTCCACTGAGTATTAGATTGCCATTATCAGGATCACTAAGAGTGGGACACTCAACAACTGAGTGGAAAATAAGATAGTGTTACAACTAGTGCCTATTGTCACACTAAATGTGTATTACTCTGGCATGTAGGGTCAGATCCACTCCATGTGCCATCACTTTGACAAACACGCCTCACTAAGCCAACCAGATGGAAGCCAGTTTCGCATGCATATGTTGCAGTCTCCTGGTAAACACCAGCACCGGTTCCAGATATTAGCAGTGAGCCATTCATGGGACTACCGAGAGTAGGACACTGGACAGCTGTGTTGAAATAAGCAAAGTGCAGTTAGTGAGTCTGTGATACCAACATGCCTATATACCTACGCATACAGGAGGGTTCCCAGTCCACTGGCCATCAGGACCACAAATCAATGATGACTCTCCAACCAAATTGAAGCCATCGTTACATGTGTACTCTGCTGTCTGTCCAATAGTGTTTCCACTGAGTTCGAGATTGCCATTATCAGGATCATTCAGAGTGGGGCACTCAACCACTGAGTGGAAATAAGGTGGTGTTGGAATAAAAGCCAATTGCCACACAAAAACTATACTTACTGTTGCATGTAGGGGTAGATCCACTCCATGTGCCATCACTTTGACAAACACGCTCCGACATGCCAACCAGATTGAAACCAGTTTCGCATGCATATGTTGCAGTCTCCTGGTAAACACCAGCACCAGTTCCAGAGATTAGCAGTGAGCCATTTATGGGACTATCGATAGTAGGACACTGGACAGCTGTGTTGAAATAAGCCAAGTGAAACTATAGAGGGGCCCAGGGCTTTTGACTCCCCGCCCCCTTGTTCCTTTGCCCAACCCACTTTTTTCACCACCTCAAAACATCTGACAACAGCTAAACAGCTAAACCTCTTACCTGTGCAGTTTGGAGGTGTAGCAGTTACAAAAACCTACATAGTCACATAGCTACATCGTGCAGTGACAAGGAAACAGAGACTTGTGACCCGAGCCCTGATCTCACATCACACCTGTTCACAAGTCATACGTTCACACCTTGTATCATGGTCAGCCTTGCCCCCTAAACCTACATCTACCACATAGCCTATAAAAGTTATTTGACACTTGTATGTTTCTATCGCTCCAGAGATTTTATTATTACACTCTGGGACTACTGCCGGCGAAGCCGCACAACGGCGAGATAGCCGCCACGCTACGAGCCACGCTACAATTGGCGTAGTCGGCGGGATTCGAACCTGCGAGAGTGACGGCCGGAAACCCTGTCGTGTTGCCAGAACCCTTCGACGGTGAGACCTCCTGGGAGGACTGGAAGCTTCATTTTGAGGATTTGGCTGCTGTGAATGAGTGGACAGACGAGCAAAAACTGAAATGGCTCCGTGTGCGCCTTACCGGACACGCACAGCAATCCTTTCACCGTCTCCCAGAGGATTGTACAACATCGTACAGGGGTGCGACGATGGCACTTCAGGAGAGGTTCGAGCGAAAGAGCAAGAACACGCCATACCAGAGGCCCGCCGGAAGAAGCGCACGGAAGGTTGGGCCGATTTCGCAGAAGATCTCCGGACTCTGACGGACAAAGCGTACCCCGAGTTACAAGTCGAGGCCAGAGAACTGCTTGTGCTTCAGGCGTACCTGCGCAGTTGGAACACCCGCAAATTTCGTTCAGCATATGAAGCAGCGACGGCCGTAAACGAAGACGAAGCGGTCGCGTCTACCCTAGAAATGGAGTCCTATATACGCCTCTGCACTACCACGTCCGGAATCCGCCGCAGCAGTGCAGGGTGCCGATGAAAACGACGACGGAAAGGAGGGCGCCACTACTGCTCCTATAGCGGCAGTCGACTTTACTACGAGGCTGCTGGAGAGACTGATGGAGCGCGTCGAAGTCCTGGAGCAGAACCAGGTCGGCCCGTCGCCGAAGCTTGTCACGCCGTCGATGGTCCCCCGCCAAAATCGGTCCAACAGGAAGGTCCCCCCCCCCCTGCCGCACATGGTCCCCCACCCGAAATATGCACAAGTACCAAGCCAACCGTGTCTCTGTTATATCTTAGCATCTTTGAGTGTGACTGAGCCGTGTCACAATGTGTTTTCGGACGGTAACTGCTACACAGCTACGTATACGTCTTCTCCCCGTTTCACTTCGCTGCTGGCGCATTCACGTCGTCGCCCTCGCGCGTTACTCAACCACAAATAGCCTTGTATGGAAAAATTCCGTATGGTTTTGCAATAAATGTTCACAAAAATAACTAAGTATGGGCTAGGGGGACCAGGGGGGACAAGGGGGAGGACCGTCCGCGGTGCCGCGGACGGTCCTAGGGGGATCGATTTTTCTGCTGTGGACGGTCCGGAGGTACCAATTTTTCTGCCGCGGATGTTCCGGGGGGCTTTTGGGGGGGGACCAATTTTCGTGTGACAAGCTTCGCTTGCGCCCGAATGGCGCAGAAGGAACGCCGACGCAAGTTCCGAGGGGGAGTCGAAGACGGCGAGACTTTGCACGTGTGTGCTGGAAGTCAACAGCCTGGTCACCTCGCCCGGGAGTTGTCCCCGAAAGGCTGCGCAGGGAAACTAGGGCCTTCCGGCGGTACGAGCCCAATGCAAGCGGACGGATAGAAAGGGCTCACGTAGTATATTATATAATTACCCTCGGCGCGCATGTGCTAGGGCATTGTGCGCAGTCAGCCATTTTTTATCGCTGCGGAAAATGCGCATGCGGTTATATGCTAATTCTAGCACAAGCTTACCTCGACCGGGCCCGCTTGCTCTGTGTATCTTGAAAGCACAAGAAGTCACAACGAAGGGCATGTATCGACTCCCGCATGCTATCTACTACTGTAGCTAGTCCGTGTCAGACTCTCCGTGAGCTACTAGCGGGAGACCGCCACGGAATAGCCCAGCCCATCAATTGGCGGTACCGCGCATGCGCTGTTCGCCGAGGGTTTGCACTGTATAATTCATTACCACTGCAGGTGACTTCAATCTTCACTGTTAGACACCGGGGCAGCAGTCACCCTTCTAAGACACGTGGGACAGTCAACGCTCAGTCCCACTCCCAGGAACTCCAACCATGGTCAGGAAAGGGGCTTGTGGGTGCAGACGACTCGCAGCTAACAGTTCGTGGGACTGCTCGAGTGTTACTTCAGCTGCCCGACAGGAAGATGCCTGCCGACGTTGTGGTAGTGACTCCGTTGATCTCCGAAGGGATACTGGGACTGGATTACCAGCAGAACGAAGGTGCCTCTATTGACTTGGAACGGGGACAGATGCGTCTCAACTGGAGCAACTGCACCCTAACACTGCACCAGATTGGAACCCAGCAAAGGGCTCCTCCAGCCAAAGTGTGCGTGTGCATGCAGGTACCAGCGCACAGTGAGATGGAGCTCATGGCCCAAGTACAAGTCGACCAAGGGACATGGATCCTGGAATATACAGGGCCACCCCTGGTGTTGTGGCACAGGCGATAGTCAGCCCCACTGCTGCCCGCCCGAGTGCCGGTACGACTGCTGAATCCGACAACAGAGCCTCTTACTCTCCATGCAAGGAAACAGATAGCCATTCTGAAAGAAGTTGACAAAGTCCTGGAGGCTGTCAACCACATCGACATCGATGCAGTAATCCAGAACCAAGCAGAAGTGATGAACTTTGGCGTGTTGTTGAAGAATCGGCTGCTGACCTCACCAACCTCGAGAAGGAATCACTCCATGAACTCCTACTCATATGTTTTTGCCTTCTCTCCCAAGGAGCTTGGGCGCACTGGAAAAGTCAAGCATCCAATTGACACAAGTGATGCCCGCCCAATCAGGCAACCTGTCCGGTGAATCTCGCCACAACAGCGGGAGGAAGTGCGTACCCTTATCCATGAGATGCTAATGAACGGAATTGTCGAAAGGTGTCAAACAGCCCATGGGCTTCCCCGATTGTGCTCCTCCGAAAGAAAGAGGGCTCCACCCGCTTTTGTGTTGACTACTGCTGTGAGAACTATATGTGTATGTGGACATTATATTGTGCGTGTATTGTGTATGTATGTGCATGCGTTGTAAGTAGGTCACTTATGTTGAGTTATGTAATCATCTAGGTTCTACAGCACGTGATTGTGACAGTATAATTGGCGAGCGGGAGCGAGCCAACCTAGTCGTTCGTTCGAGCAGAATTTTCGGTATGTATATTATTATATATTAGAGAGTCGGTAGACTCTCTATATAGGGATGACGCGGGTGAAATCTCACGTGATCCGCGTACAAAACGACTAAAAACTCGGTGAGAATCACTCCCTAGGCCTTCAAAACACACTGGCAATGGTCTACGGGCCCATATCTACCTATATATGTCCCGCAAGACCTCATACGCACCTTCAGTCGTCCACGCGAGAATTCGCTCATACGCGAATTCACGATTTTCGTGTCATCATATTCTTCATCTCCTTCTTCTTCTTCTTCCTTAAACCCGCTATCTCCTTACCAGAACCAGTTCAAGCACTGATTTTTCACTGAAGGTCTTCAATTTCGCCGGAGGTGTGCACGGACATCAAGCGATCGTTTATTTCTTGCCGCTAGTGACTACGGTAGATCATGGAGCTCTTCCATGGTCGACACTAAACAACGCCATTTGCTGCTAACTCAGCATCAGTGAGCCGCGCGCATGCGCTAGGCAGGGGCGTTGTCCAATGCGCTTGCGAGCGTATTACCAGGCGAGTTGGCAGACCTGCAGAGGAACTCTCAGCCTCCAGTACCTTCTGTAAGTGAGTGTGCACATTTCCAACTGGCTAGCTTGCTGTTGATTTGCACGAAGAGCAACTTGGCAGAGTCTGAGCGGTGTTAAGCGGGGCGCTCAGTCAAATGGGCCTTCATTGTTTGTCCCCCTAGGTTGTAGCCTGATTACCAAAGCCTGCCCATGAAACCTCAACCATGTGCAATAATCTAATTACATCCTTTTTGAAGACAATACATGCGGTATCTAGCCCCTGCTTCAGGCACTAGCAGCCCCATTAGCTACTACTTTCAACAGTTACTATTTGTCTATGGTAGCCTATCTTCAACATGCCCATGAATATCAGAGTGACTGTAATAATAAACGCAGTGTTGTCATAAGCTGTTAAAAATAGTGGAAACAAGTGGAAAAATCATTTCTTCAAAATGAAAGGGGGATATAAGGATGGTTTGAAGCACCAAAAAGGAAGAAACAAGGGGTCAAAGTTGCACAAAGCTACATGTCACCATCCCTATATCTTTGTTTTACTGTTTATTGTTTATAAGCAAAGTTTAATATCGAACAAAGATATAGGGATGGTGTCATGTAGCTTTGTGCAACTTTGCTGCGTAATGACCCCTTGTTTCTTCCTTTTTGGTGCTTCAAGCCATCCCTATATCCCCCTTTCATTTTGAAGAAATGATTTTTTCCACTTGTATAATTATATTTATCGTTCGTACGTCATGTAAGTGCGCATGTGCGGCTTTTTGTGCACTTCTTTTTATCCGAAACTATTTCCAAATTTTTACACATTTTCACACACGGATATGCGGCCGATCGATCTAGCCAGCTAGAGAACTCTCCTCCATTCGACAGCATGCGCTGCAACCTTCGGTGACTGATCGAGGCTGTATATACCTCTTCCCAATCTTCATGGTTCGAAGGTGCAACTTGCAAATACACTAGGATTTATCGTGCACATACTGCTGCATGCCAGCTGCCTGGTGAAAGCGTAAGGTAAGTACCGTTCTGCTCACCTGCTCACCGTTCTGGCAATATATAGTACGCATGTAACGGCG